TGACCTAAATCTCAGCTTCTGAATGAGCTTCATAAGAGCAGCGTGTTGTGGTGCAACAAGGAGAGACATTTTTTTTCCTATCACACCACTTCTTTAAATTTCAGACAATCATGTGCACATTCCTGCTCCGAGCAGTGATGGGTAATCCTGCAAGGGTACATTTCAAATGCCCTTCGACGCGGCTGAATTTAGCACGACAGTTTAACATGCTACTTAATGTGTGCATGTTCTGCGGGGGAAAAGCATACGTCTTCTCTAACATGACTGATGTCACAGGCACATGCAGCTGACAGCATATTAACAAGCAGGGAGTTTATGAGATTCTAAGTATGGTTGGGGCCCCATTACACTGATCAACTGATCCGATGTCCTCCAGTGGTGTATTTATCTACCATTACAATGCAGTAACTGTACAAGTAGATATCATCATAAATTGATCAACGACATATAGCACTTAAACTGAATATACTGAAGAATAAATGATATTACACTGTAAATCAAATATGGTCAGTGTAGATATAATACATGAAAATTATTGTTTAATGAAAAAACATATTTGCAGTATAAAGACAGCACCATCTTGTTTTTTGCTAATATGCAGATTTTTGAAAAGCTATTCAGTGTTTCAGATCAGAAAATGGGGTCATATGGTTTTCTGGTCAAAATAATCTGTCGTTGACGCTGGTGCTCCAGCTGTGAGACTGCCTTCAGCTCATCTGGCCAGCAGGATACTATCCAGATGCTGTTTTATAGCTGAACCAGCGCTCTTTCCTTTCCACAATAAATAAATAAACAAACATGCTGCACTGTGTGCCTGAACAGCACAAGTGAGCTGCAACATATGTTCACAAAGGTGCATACATTTAATCTCTACCTCTCTCTCACACGCACGCACGCACACGCACACACACACACACACAGGCATAGAAAAGGGCTGATGCACATTTTTTTCCAATGTACTGCACTGTGCACAATAACCCAAGATTAGGAATTTAGAACTACTGTAATGTTGCAGAGACCTGAATACCAACAGTGCAGGGCAATATAAAAAATTACAGTCAGCCAGTCCCACTTTTGGTCTAATACTTGCCGGTTTTGCTTTTCATGGGGCCATTGTAATATTAGAAACATGATTAGATCATAAACTAAGAAGGACGCTTTAAGGTTTTCTATTGCAAGTCAAGAATTAATGTCTGTCTGAGGAAACATTTCCCTTGTTTGTTTAAAATGACGAAGCCAGAGACCAGACGCCATGGACAACAAAATCCACATATAGAACAATGAACAACATCACAAACCATCTACTACAGCACTGTTTGTCCTCACCTCACATGTGTTGTAGTCCTCCGAATCCAGCAGCAGGCAGAGCTTGGGCAGAAGTTCCGGCCAGTTTTGTAGCTCTCCTTTGGAGGCAATCGTGGTGATTAGGATACCTGTGACGAGGAAGGGTTTACTGTTAGCTACACTGGTGGGACACAAGTACAAAGAATAGACCGGTTGTTGTGTCATGCAGTCTCAAACAAATCCAGAGTCATTCATTATAAATATTTACTGTATTTTTATTGTGACAGTACGTTATGTCTGCAGTATCTGGTGGATAATTTTCTTTAGCAGCTTGCAATCTTATGGGGTTAGGGTTAGCGATCACGGCCTCCAGTGGATTGAACTTACCCACAGTGGCCCGGATAAGGGGAGAAGCATCTCCAATGTTTTGGAGGCACTCGCTCTTGATGAAATCAGACACACCATTAGGGAAGTTCTGATAGTGAGCTTTCACATTGTTCTTCAGTATCAGCCCACTCAGGGACCGCGTTGGCTCATCTTTTTAGGGTGGAGAGAAGACAAAAGAATAAACTGTAAAGTAAACACACTGGTGGAGTCACACCTTCAGTGTTTGCGTGTGTGAAGGTCGTTGACTCAATGATTGAATTGATAACAGGATTTGACTGCCTTGAAATTTCTTTTCATTCAACCCAGTAAGATTCACACGAGCATCAGAACAGAATCTAGAAGCTTTTCAGCAAAGTGATAAAATAATCCTTGAAAGTAAAACAAGGGGACTTGTTAACAAATGATGGATAGCTGCAAGGGCTATTTGTATGAACTGCTGCCAATATAAATTGAATTTTAAATTGATGGCTTCATTTTTGGACATGTTTTTGTTCCTGAATATGCGACGTTTCATCTGAACTATGAGAAATGACTTAACACCACTTAACATGTGGGTCATCTACTGTGCAGACAGTCAAGCCAAGAGTTGTATGGTGCCAGGAATTAGGTTTAAAATTAGAGTGACCCATATTCTTAGTGCCACATCATCCTTAGCAAAGATGCCACCGGGGAAGCAGAGTCATGGCTCCACAGACCTGTCACTGGGCAGTTACATAAAAAATGACATGTCTGTGGTTCACACTGTCCGGTAGCGTCTGATTGTCTCGGAACATGGTGAAGATACAAGAATAGAAGTCACTGAAAAAGACAAGACAGATTGCTTACCTTCTGATTTTAACTTTGTCAAAACAAATATTAAATAGTTGTTGAAGTCTGGATACTGGTTGAGCTGCTCCAGTCTCTAAGGAAGGTGGTTGAGGAAGACAAGGTGCCAACTGTACGTGCAGCGTGTTAAAAGGCTGTGAGCACATTACCACAATCCATAACATGGTAATTATGGCAAAAACGGATTTGTTTCAGCTTTAGAGATCTAGAAAGAGCAGGTGTTAACGTTGTCGAGTGTTGGTGCACATTACACGTAACAGTGTAATAGCGTGTGTGAGTGGGAAGTCGGCGTATGTTGATAGAGGGTCATAAATGTGTCTGAATTTATAACTGAATGCTGTATCTACCCAGCCTGATGGCATACTTAGGGCAACATCAGCCTTTTGACTATGAGTTAATGACTCATGCATATGAAGTGTTCCATAAGAAAATGATTTAGGATCAGCATGCAGCCGGATGACATAAAACATAAGGACCAGCAGCATGGAGCAGCATGGGAATAATTGTCTTTCATCCAAAAGTGTGCGGAGACTTCTGTGTAACACTACAGAACATTTACATCAACAGTGCACAACATGAAATATTGCTACACAGCCATAACACTTCATATCTTGCAACCAGCATTTATTCCTGCATTGGCCAGCGCCACTGTTTTATTGAATTTCATTTCAAGGTCTAGAGCTTGCCAATTAATCCATTACAGGGGTGGCCACCGATGCGATCGCATGTCAAAGAATTTTGAATTGAATTTAATGTGGTAGAAATCTGAAAAGCCTTCTGTAATGTTAGATGGAGCAAACGGCGATGGTGTGTGCTTACCAAGTTGGCTTAATCAGCCACTCAGAGACTATGTGTCATTTACATTTCAACTGCAATCTGTATATTCTGCAAAAAGATAAGAAACACCTGCACAGAATTCTTGTCTGGTTTGTATTGCCCTCTCACGAGAAGTTTAAATGAATTTCAGATGCTGATGCACGAATGAGTCAATAATTTGTTGAGGGTTGCAGGTATAAATGATTTTCCTTCTGTTTGTTTCGTTTTGCCCATCGCTGGAGGCGACTTCAATTGATAATAATGTAGTGACGCATACATAAAGCATTCTGCTCCTGTATGACCTTGTCCAATCACCTCTTGACACATAGACTAAAGCCTTTGTTTGCACTTCTTACATTTTGTATAATGATATTTACTACTAAATCCACACTGATGTATCATAGTATTTGCATAAGTGTTATTTTACCAACTGTTGTGTGTTGCATGCTCATCTTTGTACAGTCTTCTGTTGTTTTCTTGTCTTTCAACTCTGATCTGCCAAAGCTCTGCAGAGGTGAACCAGCTTTAAGATAGAATCTGCTGAAATGCATCAAATGTTGACATTTATGTTTTTTCTACAGGACAAAGGTCCCTTTCAAATAAATCAAACAGTGCAGCCACTAATTGGATACATGAGGATTACTGTTCTGCTCCTCAATGTCATTACGTCATTATGACAACATGTATAACATGCTAACAACGGTCTGATCGCTTCTGTCGCATGTCAGACTCCATGCATCGCTGCAGACTGAGAGCTGGACGCAGCACTCCCACCTGAACATGAGCTTGTGGAGGATAAACAATGGTGTCGCATGAATTCACCAGTACTGTTTACTGCCAGAGGACAAGGAGAGGTGAGGGCGGGCAGGGATGCGACCAACCGCTGGAGGTAGAGAGGGTAACTTGAATTAAGCGGATGCAAACACACCAGTCTAACGTCACAAAGGCACGGCACGGCCCTGCTGAGCCGACCGGACACAACACAAAGCAGCAGCCGGAACCGGAGCACCTGCGTACCAGCTTCTAACGGTAACCACCCGGCTAGCCCTGGCTACCGTTAGCCTGTTGAGTCTGGCAGCGCAGACGAGCGAGGCAAACAACGCGCTGTCCTCCGAGTGCGGCCTCGGGAGAAGGATACTTGCTGGACGGACCTCTGCGTGGACGTGTCCGGAGACTGGGACTCTTTGAGCAGCTGTAAAATCTGTTGGAGTCCCTGCTCGTCTGGCTTCCACTCGCACTCCATCTTGCTGCTGCTGCTGCTGCTGCTGCGGATGAAGGAGCCTCGTTAGCTAACACTCTGGATTTGTCATTAAACGCCTCGTTCAGATCAAAACACGTAGATTCGTGAGATGTGAGTTTACCTGATCGCACCGAGTGAGGCTGACTCTGTGTGTGTGTGGGGGGGGGGGGGGGGGTGAGTGCGTCTGTCTGGCTCCTCAGACGGGGGCCTGTTCACCCACATCCGCTTCCAACAAGCTGGAAAAAGCTGCGGGTCACAGACGGCATATAAGAGGCAGCTCCGTCAGCTGACACACGGCCGAGGGGTCCTAGTGCTCCAACATTTAAAATACGCTCATTAATAAACCAGCTGTTGTATTCTTTAACACGCCGCGACATCAACACGCGTTTCGTTTTTAAAATCTGGAATTTAAAACCATTTTTTATCAGCGAAGTTGCCGGTTGTAAGAACGCAGGGTGTTAATTGTTTCATATTTCCGACGGTGCTTGAAGGCAGCATGGTGCGCCTGAAGGCCTCTCACTGTTGGTTTAGATTTGAGGAAACGTAAAACAGCGGCCCCCAGCGGTTAGTTAGGATCCCTGCATTCTCAAAGAAAGAGATCAAATAGTAAAGCTGCTTTCAGACTAGACGTGAACTGAATCCCGGATAATCTCCGTACATTCTCTGGAGGGGGGTGAATGTGAGAGTAATAACGTCTGGGTGAGAGGCTCCGGGCTGTCTCCAGAGTTTCTCCTGCCAGCCGCCTCCTAAAAACGTTGGATCATGTCCAGATGAGCCCATGTGAGAAAACAGCAGGAGATCCTCCGGAGGATTCACTGCAAGCGAGTGGGCGTGTTGATGATGCTTCTAATACGCACACAAAAGTGAAAAAAACTAAAGAAAGAATACAAATATCTCAGTATGAAAACACGGTGCTGCACGCATTTAACAATAATAATAATAATAATAAACCTTATTTGTATAACATTGTATTTCATACAAGAAATGCAGCTCAAAGTGCTTAACATACAATATAGAGCAAAATAAATCATCGATAATGTTGTTAAATAGTATTATAAGACACGGATGAAGATGTCAAGAGAGTTTTTGGTGATAAATGCAGGTGTCAACGTGTTGTTAAGAAAAATACATATGACGTCTGAAGCAGAATTCACATGTTACGTCCTGTCTCTGTCTGCTGCACCACCCCCTCACCTGAATCTCCTGCTGCGTTGTTCAAGTGTGACATAATTGTACAGACATTTTCTGGAGTTTCTGTCTTGGAATGGAACACACATGGATGTGTTATAATGTATGTGAATAATGGGAAGAGTACTATCTGTGATATTGCAGTTCTCTTATGTGCATAATCTGATTTATTTGCTTTATTAATAAAAGATAGAAGATGAGCACAAAAGTTAAAGCTTCCTGTCAAAAAGTATGTTTTCAAAATATTCAAAGGATACAATTGAGTTACCTGAAGGAAAAAATAATGGGTGTTGATGACATATGAGGTTCACTAGAGCATGAGGTCGCTAAAACCTTGACCTTTGACCTTTGGCCACCAAAAAACAAGTTCATCTTTGTGTCCAACTTTCTAATTTGAAAGAAATTCTCTCAAGGTGTTCCTGAGATGTCACAAGACCCAAAATGTATTTTGTGAGGTGTTGTGACCTTGACCTTTGACCACCAAATTCCAAATTCCATTCAGTTCATGACGTCCTTCAGATATTGTATCCACAAGAATGGGGCAGATGGACAACCCTGAAACATAATGCAGTGTTGAGTGTTTTCCTTGTTAAACCAGGTCACATCACATTTACCCAACTATGTCTCTGGAATCTGTAGTGTAAATCCACATATCTTGAAACTTTGGTGTTGATGTGTTATTATTTTTGTTCTATTTGTTTAGAGGAAATAGATGGATTTCATTCTTTCGTTTTTATTTATTTCGAACATGTAGTAAATTAGTATTTACAAATGGTAATGAGGGAAAAAAATGCTTGATGATTTACAGTAATCTACATATTTGATGAAGATAGATAGATAGATTCATAAATGGATAGATAGGTAGATAGTTAGATAGATAGACAGACAGACAGACAGACAGATAGATAGATAGATAGATAGATAGATTCATAAATGGATAGATAGGTAGATAGTTAGATAGTTAGATAGATAGACAGACAGACAGACAGACAGACAGATAGACAGATAGATAGATAGATAGATAGATAGATAGATAGATAGATAGATAGACAGACGGATGGATGGACGGACAGATAGATAGATAAATAGATGGGTGGGTGGGTGGATGGATAGATAGATAGATAGATAGATAGATAGATAGATAGATAGATAGATAGATAGATAGATAGATAGATGGATGGATGGATAGATAGATGGATAAATAGATAAATAAATAGATAGATAGATTTCATTCTTGTAGTAAATTATTATTTATGTTCAAACAGTGATGAGGAAATAAATAAAACGCTTAATGATTTAATCTACATATTCAGATATCCATTACAATTCATCAAATTGGTAGAATATTGAAATATAATCAACAGTTTAATCAATAACAAAAATAGTCGTTGGTTGCAACCATTGACTGTATTTGGAAAAATTACAGTTTCCATGTTATTCCACTAGATGGCAGCAAACGACCGAGCAGCGTTGTGTCGTGCCCGGGGCGTCACATGAAGAAGTGAGCACCAGCCTCAGTACGCTGCTGCCTCTCAGCGTACATACCAGCAGCCTGTCTGTCAAAGTCCCCAGCTTCTCATCAGCTGTCTGCAACACTCACGGTCATTTTGGATTTATTTCCATACGGACCGGTGAAGGAAGCCCGAGAAGAGCCGGGGACGTGAGAGACCGGAGAGTTTGCATCTGCCTCCTCTCTGCGCGTTAGCTGTTCGCCAGGAGAGTTTGTCTTCTGGGCTCCGAGCAAACATGAGCTTTCTATTGTGAGTAAAACAGAACGTGTGCTGAATGTCTGTGTTGTCTGCCCACCCGCCCGACTGTTTACAAAGTGCCACTGTTGCAACACACCTACCCAGCTAGCTAGCTACCGAGCGAGTTAGCTAGCCACAGCATAGTACGGGCTGCGACTACATCCTGGAGTCGCCTCGGGTGTCTGATGTGTTTCTCTTCAGCTTTCTGTCGATTGTTGAAGAACATCAACATCGGCTGACCTCTCAATGGAACTGGATATTTGATTCAGCCGAACCCATCCAGCGCCTCCGATCTTAAACACGTTCAGCACGTATGCGACAGCAAATTAAACAGTGTGAGGTTCACTATGGGGCCTGGCTATCTGCTGGTGTCAACACTTTGTTACCACGGGCTAATCCAGCACCGATATGACACAACCCAGCGATCTGTGTGTGATCCAGTAATTAATCAAAGTTACTCCGCTGTGGTTTGAGGCAAATTGAGGTTGAAGAGCTGAGTTAAAAGCCCATAACCATAGAAACGCATTTGCCAATTTGATTACCTCATTTTGCTTTATGCTACTTTTGTTATGGAACAGTCCGTGTTAATGAAATGATTCAAACTTCCGTCACTTCCTTTACGTTGTGGCGTAAAAAACCAACATCAGATCCTCCTTGAAATATTTCTCATCGTTTCCATCAGACATATTTGATTTGCTGCTAAATGGTTTGAGGGGATCAGTGGCAGAATCGATATCATTTTCTATTTTACATCTTCTGTGTAGATTGGCATTAGCAGATTCATATCTCTTATCAAAGCAGCAGTGTTGGTATGTACCCTACCATGTTGTGATGACTCACACGAATGCTTGTTTAATGGCCCAGTGAGAGAGATTGAATACAGTACCTCTTCAAATGACCTCATTAAGCGTCATACACAGAGAGCCACACTGTTCTGCCCCCCCCCCCCCCCCCCCCCCCCCCCCCACTCTTTAATTCTGCCAAACCAACCAATTCAAATGGATCCCAACTCTTTTTTTCTTTGTCATCTTATTTAGAACATTTGAGTGTTTTTGTTGCAGGAGGCCCACACCTTGGCCCTCGCAAGCTCGCCCTCCATATTAATCGACCATTTGTGTTTTTCCTTTGAAATGTGACTCATCACAGTGGAAACCGTTCATCCAAGACGTTCAAGCCCAAGAAGAATATCCCGGAGGGTTCTCATCAGTACGAGCTGTTGAAACATGCTGAGGCTACACTGGGAAGTGGAAACCTGCGCATGGCAGTCATGTTGCCCGAGGGCGAAGACTTAAATGAATGGGTCGCAGTCAACAGTAAGTGCCAAGTTCACCTCACCCCTCCTCTGCCTTGATACACCCTTTTTTGGTTGAGATTCCAGGAAGATTGACACAACCCTCACACAATCTTTTTCTTCTTTTTTCTTTTTCATTTGTCAGTCTCCTCTTAGTCTTTATATTTGCTGTTAAAGTTCTCAGTCGTCCTGTTCCTGAAAGTTCAAATAGTCCACATCAAGAATCAGTGAAGTGAAGCACCAGGGTGTGAGATTTTGGCATTCCCTCTAAAGACCATGAGCGTTCATGCTGGAAAAACCACTGTGAATGTTAAATAGACTTTATTGTCTGTGCTGAGCCTTGTTTACTTTCCTCTGAATTGAGATAAATGGCCGGTCAGTGGAAGCTTCATTTCCTCTCACGGCATATTGCCTAACTCGCTGAAGTTTTTGTCTAAGCCGTTTACACTGTACTACTGTGCAACGCAAGTAATATCATTCAGATTTTAAGAAACAGCTGATTTTTTTTTTATCTTGCTAAAGGCTACATCCATACTACTAAGTTCTCATTTGAAAACACATTCATCTGGCTCCTACTTTCTTACGGAAGCAAACAACAACATTAGTCTCAGCTACCAGTGTAGAACACCACATGGATGAGCAATTACAAGCGGTGATGACCCTGTTGTTTTTGGTAACAGCTGTTATGCAGTTAAGTTCTGCAGTTTTCAATGATTAAATTTTTTACATGTGTAGGAAACAAGCTGTTATTTGAGCAATCTGCGAAACAATTCCAGTGTCCTTCGGGATGCACGTGGCTTCCTGTTTACATCTGCCCACTTACCCAGTGTACGTGATATGCTTTCAGCTGTCTTGATATGGACGGGGATTAAAACGGATTGTTTTCATATGAAAACACCATTTTAGTTTTAGTGGTTTGGCTGTAGCATGATATTACTTCTTGTTGGCTGTAATAAGTTCCACAACTTCAGAGATGTATACATTAGTGTTGGCTTTCAGCCCTTGAGCCATAACATGCCGATTAAGCTCAAATCTGCACGTGTCTAATACATTTTTTTATGTCTTTTTAATCACCGTTAAACCTTCAACTAGCTATGAATACAAAAGTTAGGGACTAAAGTTTGTCCAGAGGGGACGGGGGAAACCCTAATAAACTACTGGAGTGAGCTGGCCAAACATATGCCACATCAGCTGCACAGTATTAATGTCTAAGATTAGCAAACAGAGCACCAGCACTAACACTGCCAACCCTTCAAATGGATCTCTCGAAGTGATGGAAAGCCAAAGTTGGCCATATGCCCCTGGGAATGGACAATAACAGAATTTGTGCCAGATAAGTGGAGTGTTCTCTGGTCTGCAGTCTGGTGCTGGGCAGTGAAGTGGGAAGGGTCAGCGGCTCCAGAGAAACGTGATGCCACTTGTTTTGCCAGTTTCCATGGTATTCACTCTCATGTGCGCTTGATTCAAATATGTTCTTTTTGTTCCTTTTCAGCTGTGGACTTCTTCAACCAGATCAACATGCTGTATGGCACCATCACAGACTTTTGCACAGAGGAAAGCTGCCCAGTCATGTCTGCTGGTCCTAAGTAAGTTTATCGTTTTAGGTCATGCATGTTAACTAAGGGTAATCCGATCAGGCTTTTTAGGTCCCATCATTGAAATAGTATCAGCCGCCACCGATCACTGGATCTAAGTAAGAGCTCTGGATAATATACGAATGAGCTGATATGAGAACACAGCAGGAGATCCTCCGCAGAATTCTCCACAATCAAGTAGGTGTTGATGACGTTGAAGAAGTTTCAACAGTCTCAAAACCGGAAACAAAGAGAATAAATATATCTCTGGATGAAAAAGAGGTGCCATACAAGCAGAAGACACCAACAAAGATGTCAGCAGCCTTAGTGGATGTTACATTACGTCCTGCCTCTGCTTACTGCACCACCCCCCATCTCAGTGTTCCGGACATTTCTGCGTTGATGGAGTTTTTTCTCTCCACAGTCGTCAGAGTGTTGCTCATTGTGGGAACTGTTGGGTTTCTCTATACATTTTAAGGTCTTGACCTTATTATGTTATGATTTGGCCCTTAACATTGAACTGAATTGACTGCCTTTTATTTTAGTTAATTCATTTATTGCCATGGATTTTTGTGGAGCACTTTGTAACCTTGTTTGTGCTATACAAATAAAGCTATTATTATTATTATTATTATTATTATTATATTGTTGTGAACGCATCTGAGCAGAGAATCTCCTGCATCATTGTTCATGTGTGAAAAGCAAACTCCAGAAAACGTTTGGACCCAATTGTGCAGACTTTCTCCAGAGTTCGTGTCTTAAAACAGCTTATGTTTTATCTGCTAGTCTCCTGTACTAGCTCATTATATTTAGTTAGACTTCTGCAGGGTTGAAAATGTTCATTTGCGAAGGTGCTGAAGATCAAAAATAATATTTTGTTGGTTTGGTTGTGACACAGCCCTTTGCTTGGTATCTCACCCGTTCTCTCTTATTATTTCAACTGTCCTGTCAATAAAGCTGAGATGCCCCCAGAAATAATAATAATATTTGAACATACAATAGGTAACTTCAACCGCTAATGGTCTTTCAGTCAAAATAATAAAGACCTAGTTAAATAATGTTGTGAAGCAGTGTGGAATCATGGGAGTTGTTATCTTCGCCTCCGTTTTTGCCCCACAATCTTTTTGGATCGCTTGGTTCCCCTGTGCATTCACGCTTGACTGGGAGAACTTTGGCATCAGAATGTGGAGCAAATGGCAACGAGTAATCATCATCCATTATGAGTGACCTATACAAACAGTGGAAGGAAGGAAGAACAGCTGACTGGCTAGCAAGGTGTTTTTCCGTCATCATATGTTGTCTGCTCCTGAAGTTACAGCAGAGACAGACAAAGGTCGAAGTAAAGTGCATGTGACACAATTAGAATGCCACCAAAATGAAATGTTCTGTTCCCTTGAATCGAATTGGGGATTTCTCCGTGTTTGAACATTGTTGGAAACATTTAGGATGATTTAAATTCCCAAGTCAACAAAACATACATAGTTTTTTGACATGTTAATGAAGAATTGTTATATGTTATATATTTTAATTCTATTGTCGTGGGAACCTAGATGGAAGTATATTCAAAGTGTTTGTCATCTGTGTTTCCTGTAGGTACGAGTACCACTGGGCCGATGGAACCAACATCAAGAAGCCAATCAAATGCTCCGCTCCCAAGTATATTGATTACCTCATGACCTGGGTGCAAGACCAGCTTGATGATGAGACACTTTTCCCTTCAAAGATCGGTAGGTTTAGTTTCTGTTGTCTGTAGGTTTGATGTTTTACTGGTTTCTTCAAAGCCTCGTCGATCCACGATCGATCTATTGCTGCTTTTCTGTATTATCATCGTAAAAATGTCCGAACTGCATATGAGCACTCAACACATTGTTACAACAAAGGTGGTTCCGTGTTGAAATCGTGAATGTTTGCACTTACCTCAAATCGTGCTCTGGCCTGCCTGTAAAAATATTTCAATCCAGGAGAACATACTTCAGTGAGGCTGAGTCTGCCTCCATCAGTCAGAGCTTAGTGAGCAACAGAGAGAAAAAAAGATGTGATTGAAGCTCAGTCTGTAAAATATTCACAATATTCGGGCATTTAGAAAATCCAAATCCTAGGAATCCGTCAACATTATCACTGATATGATCTGTATCTTTGGTTGTCATTTTATTGAAGTCATTTAATGGGAAGTCGTTCCTGCCCGCAGTCATCAGACAATTCCTCCCTGGGAGGGAGGAAGACAGTCTGAGTCAATACACCAGCCCTGTATATCACCCTTCCAGCACATTACACCTTAAATCATGAATAAGTTATCTTCTGGCGTATATACTGTAATTTAACATATTTTATATATTGTGTCATAATTCACATATTTTATTTATAAACTCGATTCTTGGCTGGAGTGACTGCAACAAAACCCAATTCCGCTCCGGGTTCAATCAACTATCGGAATAATCTGAACAGCTTCTCTTTCCTGCCCTCTCTTCCCAAGGTGTCCCCTTCAAGCGAAACTTCATGTCCGTGGCGAAGACCATTCTCAAGCGTCTGTTCAGAGTCTACGCCCACATCTACCACCAGCACTTTGATTCTGTCATGCAGCTGCAGGAGGAGGCCCACCTCAACACGTCGTTCAAACACTTCATCTTTTTTGTTCAGGTGAAGAGACTCTCACTTTTGAATTTAGGCTTTTTATTTATTTTAAACTAGCTCAGTATATCAGCAATAAACTGTGTTTGTTGTTTTGTATCGTGCGATAATGTTTGTTCCCTCTCCTTTGTCTTTTTCAGGAGTTCAACCTCATTGACAGGAAAGAGCTGGTCCCACTACAGGAGCTGATTGAAAAACTGACAACCAAGGACAGATAAACAGCGTTGTCGTCCCTATTTTATTGGTCTTCTAGTTTTTGCACAGATACCCACCCCACCCTGGCTGTACGTATGCAGTATATACTATATTTCCATTTGGGGAAATGTTTTTAAAAAGGGCCAGGAAGAAGGAAGGGTCTTGATAGGTTTAAGGCACCAGGACTAATGCTATCAGGGATAATTGAACAAACCACAGATTAACATATTAGAGAAGAGGGTTTTAGCTGTATGAAAAAAAAAAAACAGTGTTCAGTCACGGCTTACATTTAGGATATTAAAGACATTAGTTTTCTATTATACTGCACAGTTTTTTATCACTTCGATTTCTGGCAACATGAGGCATTTCCATGCTCTTAGATTTCCAGCTCACCTGCAGGAGAGAACGCAGGGGAAGTAAAGTTGCTGTATTAAATAGGAGGGTATTGTTGGTGTTATGGCATCTAAGCCAACCTTTTAGCTGGTTATTTTATTCATTAAGCTACGTCGAGGGAGCTCAGTCGTGATTCGCGACTGTTCACATCAGTCAATACAAAAGAATCCTAAGTGCCTAGCATGGCTCATAATTGCCCTATATCAACAGTGAGAACTGTAAGAAGATAAAGGCCATATATCACTGACACACTGGACACAGCGTTAAATCTCTCCCCTCCTTCCTTTTTCAGTTTCTGTGTCTCTAAACTCCTTAGACCCTTTTTCTATTTGTACTGTAACTGGGTTGAAAAAATATTTTTTTTCTGTAAAACCACCTCCTCACGAAACATCCTTATTTAGTTACGTCTTTTTGCCAACTGTGCTGTGCAGGTTATGATAAATGAATGTTTTCGAGGACGTATAGATGAGGCTAGAATATCGTCACGTCGTAGCGGGGACTGAAAATGAACTAAACCAATAGCGTTTCCTAGTAACATGTTCCTGTGAACTAGTTTCTCCCCCAAAACCTTTAAGTAGACACACGTTTTAGAAAAGGTCCGCAAGGAATCTAAAACCTTGAAGTGTGAATTAGGTCAGTAGAATAGTTACTTGTGTCGCAGCCTCCACTGTTGAGCAGAAACAGCATTTTGAATTGGAGTTTGAGGCACCCGTTGTTATCTCACTAGCCATAAAAGCACTTTGAATAATTTCCCTGACCTCTCTTGCCTGAATGTTTATTTTGCATAGACCGTGCTTTGTGAGAAGCTGTATCATGTGACTGATCATAGTTTGTCTCCTCTCATATTTTCCCCCAAATGAATGTTGAACTGCGTGAACCTCCCCGGAAAGTATCTATAAGGCACAAGTGAGATTTCTTCTGCTTTTATACGGTTTGACTCGTTTCGTTGCTGTGCTTCAAACAGCAGATGCATGACCCCCCTCCTCAAATCTCAAAGTGTAGTTTACTATGCAATAATTGACACTAAAACACTAAAAAAGGATTATAGCGGTCGGCTCGTTTCTACTTTATATCTGATGTTCATTTTCCTTTAGAGCTTAAATTCTGGTGTACGCTAATAGATCCGTGCTTCTCATTGGGGTTTGGTTTGAGAAAAGGTGACTTGAACATTTTATATCGTGTAACACTTTATTGCACTCATGTTGAACACTGAGGGTGCGACCTGTCTTAAAAGTCATTTTCAAAGAGCATGGGGTGCTAGCTTTTGGTTCAAAGAACGCATAGATTCTTTTTAGACGCTGCTTCCCCGTCCCCCCATTTGGATATAAACTTTTAGTTTGTTTTAATTGTTCTGAACCTGTTACCACTTCCTTAGCTAAGTACTATGAATGTTACTGCTCATGATCAGATACATGAAAATGTAATAGAACCTGGGTCATCCAGAAAGCATCTCATCCTTATGAAATGCCCGTCACATAGCCTGTTGCCTACAGTTTTTCCTCCTCGACTGTAATAATTGATGAAATGTTTGTATATAATGGCTTGGTAGGGGTTTTCAATGCTACTGAATTGATTGATGCTGTTTACAAGGCAAATAAAGGTGGTCTTTGAATGAATTCTCTGTTGATTTATTTACCTGTGAGCTCACTGCAGCCCTTTTTCTAGAGTACTGTACTTTAATACAAATCCAAGAGTTTTCACTTCTGTGCTCCTTAATACTCACATTCATTTCAGAGGGTGTGGTTGTCTGTTTTTATGCATATGTACAACTGTTGCCTCACACAAAGGTTTATTGGTTCAGATCCCGGTGAGGGTAAATGGATGTTTGTCTAAATGTTGGCCCTGATGCGGTGGCGACCCGTTCAGGGTGAACCTCTCCTCTCCCCCAATGTCAGCTGGGATTGACTCCAGCTGCCAACTGTAGCTTTACAGATAGTAACTGTTCACATGAAGATAATTAATGCAAATCAAAATTATTTTATAAGATAAAAATGCATTAATTTAGATGATACTAGCCTAAAGTACAAAATAATGCAGTTTCTACAATATTTGAATGATGCTCATATGTTTTTTTATATAATATATAAAGATTGTATGACATCGACAGGAAGCAAGGAAGTACTTTTATTTTTGAGACTTGTTGCCAATTCTTAAGTATTTTTACCTAAATAACACTCAATAACTGGCTTTTACTTGCAATAGAGTAAAAGTGATACCTTTACTTTTTTTAGTTACCTTGATTTGGGAATTTGTATTTTAAGTTACTTGCTACTTCTACTCCATAACAAGTAAGAGTGGGATTATTCACTTTTTATCTCAATTAACAGCAAATAAAAAGATTTTTAATAAACCTAACTTGATAAGTGTATAAACTTCAACTGCCCCAAAGACTGCAAAGATCCACTTCAACAAAACTTAACTGCTATTATCCATAAAAGGCACATTGAGGGCTTTTACTTTTATTAATTGATGTATATTTGTTTTCCAACACTTTATTAGACTAAAATGAACATTTAAAGTGAAGGACCGTGCTGAAATGTAAAGCACGACAAATTAAGCTGTGACACTTTGCAAATGTTCAGACTTCATGACACTTATGTTGCAGCTGTATGTGTGTGTGTGATGATGACAGACAGGAAGACCCTCCACACGTGTTTGTGCTGCTGCAGCTGCAGATGAGGTCACATCTGGAGCGGCTCATCGTCGTTGGAAACCGATCAAGACAACATGAGAATAATGTTTAAAAAAACTCAACAATCTGATGAACAGATGAAATATTGATGAGTTCAGGATTTTGTATGTATCATTTTTAAATGAGAGGAAGATGCTGCACGCTGCCCCTTCTTTGTTGGAGACAAATGGCAGAGATGAGGAAAATAAAAACTTTAAGAATCAAATGAAAAGATGACAACCGTCTTATTTTTCAGCTTCTCTGGCTCAAAAGGACAAATAACAGATAGGTGGACATAACAGTGACTAATGTCAGCTGTTAGTGACACAGAAGAAATGTTGACTAACAGCCTCCGCACCCAGAGGAACTGATCTCTGAATACGTTCTTATATCACACACATAGAACAAATGCAGACTTACATTTGTAAATTAAAGAGCTTACAGTCTGTAGTGTTTTTGCTTCTCTTGTGTCGCTTGTTTCCTCCGTCTAAAAAACAAATCCAGACATCTGGAGCTGATCGTCCTCGCAGGAAATGAGTAAATACAACAGTTAGTAACCTCAACAAGCAGGTGAACAGATAAATATTCATATCAACCAAAACATAAAATATACAAAATTAAGGTTCTAAGTGAATGATTTCTAATTTCCCCGTGTTTCGGGAAATAAAAACATCAGGAGGGGATGAAATTATATTACTATATGCTATAACAGCATAAAAGTTGTAAAAACGTTTTAATATTTATTACTACTATCTGTAACAGAATTGAAGATGAAAAGATTTCAACTACTCCCATACAAAATATATAACTATGAATGTGTAGCACTTTTTAAGGAAATAAAATTCTCAGTCATCTATCTCATGGTATCTTCAGTGCACTTCTGAAAAACTAAAAAAAACTAACAACAAGGATTAAAAGAGATAAAAAAGATAAGTGACTTAAAGACTCACTCAAGATAAAAACCTAAATTATACATTTTATTCGAATAACACAAGGATATCAAACACACTTTATAAAACATAAAAATAGATGACTGAAAGACACACTAAAGACATGAATTACATTTTATTTGTATCGCAAATAAACTTTTCACAGAATTAAGAGAAATGAAAATGAATGACTAAAAGACAATAAATATAAAACAGGTGTAAAAACAATATAGAATGTTTTTTATCTCGGGCTACAGCCTGGTTTAAAAAGTATGTAACATGTACTTTTGCTTTCACCACAGTGTAACTACAACACAGCTGTGTGTGTGTGTGTGTGTGTATGTGTGTATGTGTGTGTGTGTGTGTGTGTGTGTGTGT